TTTGCGTGCATCTGGTCAAAAGCCACCATCGGTTATGCTCAAAAAGTTCAGGGCCCTTGGCTGGTTCAATTCTAAAGTTTCAAAAGCGCATGCGTGAAATTTTCATGTGTTCGTACGTGAGATGGCAAGTAACTTACTTTCGCGGACACAACAATGGGCGACAAGTAATGCTGCAGAATTGCAGCTCTCTGCAGCTTATTGGTCACCTTAAACCTGGGTTTGGCATGATGCCAGTTTAAACCCTGACGCCTGCGTACGTGTGTTCTGAGGGTGTGTGAAGGCTGAATTTAAAATCTTTGGATTAGACGCGGCCAAGGAACAACTCTGTGAAGCTCCAGCCTCCTAGCAATGGCCGTTCCCGAAGACGTTTTCCCGCCAAAAAACTTCCACGTGCTCCTACGTGAGAACCACGCGGACCTGAGCGCCCATTTTGAGGATACGAGCACGCACGCATGTGTAGACTAAGTCACCAAATTTTCAGCCTTGTAGCTTTTGTGGATCTCAAGATGAAAACTCGTTACAGACGCTCGCACATACACACACACAGACAACCCCTCGACAATATGTGTTTTTGTATTACATAGCTGCAAAAAACGCATAAAAAACGGTCCCATGATAAAAACCCATATTAAATGATGAAGACGGTACCTCAATTCAGTTGAATTGTTGAATTGTTTAGGACATTTTTGTTCATTTCCCTCTTTTGTCGAGGGCACTTTTCCCGACTGCGCCATTTCGAAACCGCGATTTTCTGCTTTCTTTGATACCTGCAGTGGAATAATTCTGAGAACATTTGAAGGCATAATTTTTGAGAGTTTTTTTTTGTGTTTCCAGATCACGTGGAATTTATAAATCGTCCAGCTTTTTTGACGCTGCACTAGAGCTTTATTCTTCTTGAACAACTGTGTGGAATTAAATGATTGGAGAGGGACCAAAATAGAGAGAAATGGAGCAATTGCCAGCTGTAGCAATGATGAGAAGAAATGAGACGATGAAACAGCCAGCTGATCAATGTATCCAAGCAAGTACATCGCTGAAACTTAATTCAGCGTTTTTGCGAGAACAGCCCTTTGAATTTCCCTCACCATGGCTTTCTGAACCTTTTGTCAATAAAATTGGAGTGCTTCTTGGCACTTAACAACTCTGACTGAAACTGTTTCAAGTCTAATAATTAACTGTGAGGCACGCAGCATTTAACCAGAAGTACTTGCTCTGCTTTG